CACAAGCCAAGCCAGGCGACTTGTTTTCAGACTAGCACGTCCAATTTTGATGTCATTCGGTGCGCGGATGCCCACAACACCTGTCGCCAGGGCCCAGCGAGCTCACCAACGCAGCGAAGCAGCTGGGGCGCCAAGTCAAGGATGTCGAGCCGCTGCTGAGCCAGCTCAGCATCAGGACGACTGATCCCAGCGATGCAGCCGAGGGGCGCCGCCTTTGTTCTTGAATGCCCCAGTGGAGGCATGTGAACTCGTGCAACTTGAGGTTTGGTTGCTAACCCGTCTTTGCAAGAGCAGGTGCAGTTATCCTCCGCCAACGACCCAGCGCGGATCCATCCAGAAGGGGTCCGCCGACTCAAGTTGGAACCCGTTGTCCCTTTTGTAGGTTCAAAAGAAGCCAAAGCAAACCAACCACATGTTTACTTATGATTTGTTTTTATTTATTTTTCGGGGGGGGGGGAGGCCCCTTAAGGACATACCAACATTTCAGCTGCAGCCTGATTCGTCGCCTGAGTCGAAGCGCCAGGACCTCCCAGAGCCAGGTGCACCTCATCGCCAAGCCCAGCGCCTTGAATGTGCCGCCCTGGCACATGGTGAGCTCCCTCCTGCAGGCGTTCGGGCGGTTTCGCGCGCGCGGGCTGAGCGGCGGGTGCGCGCGGTCCGTCCAACATGCGACGGGGCACCGGGCTCACCAAGGCGGCAGCTTTGACTTCTGAAGCTGCCCGTGTTTTGGTTTGAAATCATGTTGGCAGGTTCGCAAAAGTATAAAGCCAGAATAACAGATGCGGTTTTGGTGGGTTGGGATGACTAGGAACTCAGCGCGAACAGAGGAGACCTTGAGTCTGAGATGCGACATGCTGCAAGACTCGGATAAGAGAACACGCGCGCATGGCGGTCAGAAACTGCATGGACACCTCCAAGCAAACCAGAGGTTCGATTGTGAGCTGCTGGTGCATGATTGGGCAGGGGGCATGCGGCTGGCTTCGATCCAAAGGCTCATTGAGTCTAGCCTTGGCCCACTGAGGTTGCAGGGACTGCTTCATGATGACAGCATAGATTTGGGCTTAGTCAGGAGGATGTTGCCTTCCGTGGATTTGTGTCCAGTTGGCCGGCTTCCAAGTGAGAGGAGGGCTTACTGGTTGCCACTATATCCTCAAGCAAAAGGCTACACCTTATCGTCCATGTTGGCGTGCTTACTCTCACCTAGGCCCCTCCCTCGCAGACACCTCGATCCGCCCGCAAGACCATCCTTCCCCAAGGGGCACCCGCACGAGGTGCCGCTCCGAACCGCCACCTGGTGGGCGCACCCGCAGATCAACTCCACGAAGAAGGCCTTTCAGCCAGGCCGAGCTGCATTCCGGCGGTGCCCGCTGTTGAGTTTACAAGGACACCCTAGGTCCCTAGGTACAGCGAGCCATGTTTGATTTTTTTGGTGGGGCGGGGGTCCGTATTTTATGACACAGCCATATGGAGACAGCCAAGGCCATCGCCAATCATTCGACTTGTTTTTTAAAGACATGTAGTGATGCTTCATGGCCAGTGTGAAGCCTTTGCCTTCAACTAAACGTGCCTGTGAATGTGTGTGACGCGCTTGAACATCCGGCACTCTGCTTAGCGCTTGTCCCCGTCAACTTCAACTTCAGAGGTTTCTTTGTGGGGATCGGGCGTCCTGTTTAGTGTGGACAGAGCCCCTGTTACGTAAATGCCCGCAACCCCAAAAAAAAAAGAAGCGGACAACCATACCCTTCATGTAAATGAGCGCGCCCTCGGACTCAACGGTCGCCAGGGTGCTGGCACAGCGAACTGAAGCCCCCGCTGGAGGTCCAGGTGGCTTTGAGCGGGCAATGGGCGGGCAAGACCTTCAGCTTCAGAGGCCTTGCCTCTCCGGAGCCTTGGATCCAACCAACACTTGAAGGCCAACAGCTCCGCGAAGAGCCGTCCGGTTTTGTTCAGTTGAGGCTTTTCGGCTTTTTGGTTGGTTTCGTGCAGGGCTCCAACTTCACCCGCGATTTTTGTTATGGCCAAGCCTCCAATGTTGGAGGTCCCAGGGCCAAAGAAGCTGTTGGGCAGATTCGGACACCTTGCCGGTGATTTGTTTTAATCAGAAAGCAGCCATGCACCAGATTTCCCCCCCCCCACCCAAATATCAAGCTTCTTTTTTTGCCCACCCTCAAGCCTTGATTTGCTTTTTCCCAGACCAGCACATTCTGACCCGTAACCCTCTGGAGGTGAGGACATGTGGCAGTTGCCGAGCCTCCGAGGATGCCAACCATGCCAAGATGGCGCACAGCATGGACGGCTCCAACCTGGCCGTCTTGGCTGACATGAACCAGCAGGGCATGCTCAGCGACGATGGCTCCAAGGCGCGCTCGAGGCTCAAGGCCAAAAGGCGGCCTTATCGACAAGGCGTCAAATAAAAAAGTGGGATATATATAAATACATATATATATATATATGTAGATAGTAATTGGATGCGTTGCATGTTCTGGAGAAGTTGTTGTCAAGCGCCCTTTCCCAAGATTGCCGGTATGAGATTGTACTGGGCTTGGGCAGGGCCAGTGAGATTGCCCAGTTTGACTGTGCCAACAACGGGCACTATGTAAGCCCAACATGTGCATGGGAACACCCTCGAACATCCTCGAACATTATTTGTTGATATCAGCTTGCCAAATTGTAATTAACCTCCGCACCAAGTGATTCAACGTGTCACCTTCTAGCGCGAGCACTTTGCGCCACCCTTTCCACCATATTTCACCCTTCTGCCAATGTTGAAGTGAGCGCAGTCCTGCTTCCGAACGCCTTTCACGCGATGGTTCGACTGTGACTTCGCAGCAGATGCCGCTAGGTAGGCTTCAACTGCAGAACTCAGTGCCAACACATTCTGTCACATTGTTGGATGTCTCAACGCGCATGCAAGCTTATGGCTCCCCTCAACCAAGCTGCTCCCCTGGCTCTCACAAGGAAAGGCAAGCAGAGCCAAAGTGACATGAGGCAGGGCTGAAGAGCCGTGCCAGGAAGGTTGCAGCACTTCTCAGAACGGCCGCGGCGGGCTGTTCTTCGTCCTCCAAGACAGCACGCTGCATGATGGCCTTGCAAAGCTGCTCACGGGTGACACGGACGCCCGTCTAAAGTGAGGGACGATGGGCGCTGGACTCACAAGCCATGCTCATTGTCTAGCCTACCGGATATTGTGCCAGATGTTGGGGTGACTGCAATTAGCTCCTGGAATTAGGACCACCCGCACCCTTGATTTTTTTTGGGAGCGCAATGCTTGTGGCAAACAAAACAGTCTGAACTTTGTTTGGCCAATCCACGCAGGAAGCGAGTCATGGTGGATGGAATGTCATTCCCAAGTAGGCCGATCCCAACATGCAAAGCTTGATTGCTGACACACATACACACGTACACACACGCACACACACGCACACACAGAGAGACGCACAACTCAGTGAGAGAGAGACACACACACACAGACACAAAATAGAACTTTTTGCGCCAAAAGATGTGCTCGCCGATGGCTTGGACCAGTCCCAGACCCCGAAAACAGTTTAAGCAAAGTTGCTCGCAATGTTCGCCGTCATGCATAATGCATAGGTTTGTGGACTGAGTTTCAGTTCAGGCCTGGGACCGCACATGAGCCTCTTGGTCAGAGGGAGCCAGCTGTTGTTTTTGCATTGACCTGCTTATCTTCTGCACATGGCTTGAGGCCGACTACGCCGGAGGGCCTCAGCCTAAGCTAGAACATGGCGGGAATGGAGTGATGCTGAGGGTCCTGGGATCAATTGTTGAGGCCGCCGTGGCCCTCAGTTTACCTTACTTGGCTTGCAGCTGCAGTGTTTTGGTGGTGACAGTCTTGGCATGCCAGAATCAATTGCACGGGGACATGTGCTCGCCTACAACGCTTTCCGGCATCAACAGTATGATTATGTGGGTGGCGTGAAGGATGGATGAGGCCGAACACCGCGAGTGTGCAACAGTTGCAAGATGCTGCACTTCCAAGTGCCACACAAGAGCACGAGCATGACTGAGTGCAGAGCCAGATTGAACAGAATTGTCGAGTGAGTGTATAAATATATGTACATATGCAAAAAGGACATGTGTGTCGCATGAGTGTTTGGGAGTGTGGGTTTGCGTGCGTGTTTCCGTGATACGGCATGTCCAAGTTGTTGCAGGCTACTTTGCAGGGAGCGGTTTGTTGGCACTTCTGCAAGCACCGCGCCTCAACAATACAGATGTTCAACACAACCCGAGCTTTGATATACCATTGGGAAAAGGGGGTCAGTCCCCCGTGCTTATCTTGCTGGTTCTCAGCCGGGAATGAGTTGCAATGAAGTGAATCCCGAAACGGTTCATTCCCCACACCCGGACTCGTGGTCATTCCGCACGCGCTGGCGCTCAGGTCGCCATCTCCTTCGCCATCTCCCTCGCCATCTCCCTCGCCATCTCCCTCGCCATCTCCCTCGCCGTCACCGACGGGGTGCAGCCTGGCGCTACCCAGGGAAATGCCCCAAACCAAAGTTTGAGGAGGACAGCGGACCAGCGGATGGGTGGATGGATTAGAACGGGCGGAACTTGGGAGACATGCTCACTTGCTTGCGCTTGTCTAGCCACTCGCTTCTGGGGCTTGGGCATACGGCGCACAAGAGGTCAGAGATTATGATTTCACAGGTTTATCAGGAGTCCGGCTGTCCACAGCGGATTGATAAACCACACAATGGTGGCTCGGCCGGATCGGTCCAGCTTTGCCTTTTTGGGTGCCTGCTGTCAAATCCAAGCCTTTTCTTGAAACTGCCACGGCCACACATGTACCTCAGCCAAACGGGCGCCGGACAGGTTCATAGTGCTTGCGTTGCCATGCACTGCTGAGCTGAACAATGCCAGGCATTGGCTGTTGCCCAACCGGTATAAGACAACTCAGATGGAGCGGAGATCGCGCAAAGCCGACATGAGGGAGGTTTCTATTTAGATGGAGAAGGGAGCGCACTGCATGCTGTGAGCACACGCTTCACTGGGCAATTTTTTACAACGTCACGTTCCAGAAAGGCGACAGCGCCCAGGTTCCTTTCATATTTTCGGACTGTTCGGTTGGCGGCGGGTTGCCGGCCATATGAATGGCATATGCAGGATGTAAATATGCAGTTTTACCTGCAGACGCTCGCAATAATTTACAGGGACACCGGGTTTCCCTTGCAACATGGAGGTACCCAACGACACAAACCGCACTGCCCCTGTTCAGGCTTCAAAAGCGCTTCGATCCTTGGCAAGTCCAACTCGCTGCAATGAATTTTCCATTGGGGACCCTTTGGTGGATATCGTTTTGGTGGGGATTTGTGTCCACTTTTCAGGTGGTTGCCAGCATCAACATTGAAATCGCAATATGCTGGCACATGGGGGTGTTGTCTTTTGAGTTGGTCGCCTTTGACTTAAAAGGGATTGCGCAACGTTCCCTGAGGCGTCCTGTCGGGTAAGCAACTTCCTTGGGACAAGCCTTGCGGCTCGAAGTCTTTCTACGCAAAACGTGGTGGTTCAATCTCCCAAAAAGGTGAGGGGGCTGCGTGGAATGGGGGTCATGGAGTCTGTGACCTTTCGCGGGCTCGATTTCATCCAGGGATCCTGTTATAGTTTTGGCCTGCCCTACATGTCGCTATAAATATATATATATATATATATATCTATATATCTATCTATCTATATACGCACCTTTGGACCCCAACTCTCCATTGTTTTGCCATAGGCCAAATATGTCTACATCTTTTGCCGGGCACAGTCAAGTAGGTCCTGCCTGACGGGCTATATTTGCGCACGCCTCAGGCGGCGGCGCCGGCGTGAAGTGGAACACGTGCAAAGCGTCGGGCTGCAAGTACGTGAAGAAGGCGCGGCAAAGCTTGAGGATTTCTGCTGTGCTCCATTTCTTAGGATTTCTGTTGTGCTTTTCTGGTTTAGAGGGAATCAGTCACTACTGGAAGTATGTGGTTTTCCAAGCGACTTATGCAATTGGACCTGGAGAGAGCTTGGGATGCATGCTTGACACCATGGTAGAACGGATGAAGTCCAAAAAATGTTGAAGGGCAGCCGGCTCTTGCACATCGCATATGTTGTTTAGCAGTTTGACCCTCGACTCTCAATTCTGCCCGGAAGCGACCTGGAATGGATACGTTCGTATTCACCAGGTGTCCATGAAGCGCAACCGTTTTTGGCGCTGCCATGAACTGCATCAGTTGTCATTTGTGTTTGGGCCGGATGGCCTGAGAAGCACCGTTACCTCTGCAAGGTGCCCAAAACATGCCAAAGCAGCGGAGAATTTGGAGCAAGGTGGCTTTGGGCAGCATCGGGCTATGATGTGGGTTGGTTGGCTTCTACCCGTGTTTCATGTGTTTGGCCTTGGCTGACCGTGGGGCAGTCCCAGCAAAAATGTTGCCTGGTTTTTTGCCAGCACAGGCACCAGTAGGCAGCACCCTTCCAAAGGTCAGTCTTGACCGGCTGGAACTGCGGAACAACCGAACCCATGGGGCAACAATTTGAAGGGATCTCTGATATGGCGCAGTCTCGTTTCAGCAGTTCAGCTTGGCTTGTCACATGTCCAAAACACCCACTGGCCTTGTGGATTGGCAGAGATTACTTTATTTTATCCAATGCTTGAGTGGCCCATTGGTGTCCGGTCAGTATCCACCCCAGAACCAAGCAAAAGTTGATTCTGCCCAATTCCAGCCTTGACTTGCAGTCTGCGACCTAAAAGTCGTGCCATGGAACTCGCTTCAACCCTGTCCCCCAACCTCCCGCCAGGAGAACGCGGAGGCGTGCGGCGTGCCAGGCTATGGCTGTTTCCCTGAGAAGTCTCTGAAGGCAGGATGCCCGCAGCTTGGCGAAGCAGCGCAGGTACCTTTGAGTGATTTGGATTGGCTTGCGGGGCTGGAGCCCATGGGTCTTGTGGAGACAAAAAATGGGAAACCGCCACCCTGGAAACGTGCAAACTCGCTCGGTATGTTTGAAGCGTTGAGACCTTTGGGTGAAGAGCTGAGTTGTTGATTTCTCCCAATGGAAAAGGAGTTGAAAGATCTGTGTTCCAGACACCCTATGTATCACTCACTCATGCACCACCAACAGGGGCGCAAGTCCGGCATGGACCGATGGAAAGGCTGCTGTTTCTGGAATTGTCCCCATGAGGGTTCCACTGTCAAATCAACCAGCAGCGGCGCACTTTTTCGACTGGCAAGCCAGAGGCCAAGTTGGCAGGTGGCTTCAGGATGCGTGGGTAGGTTTGGGGAGTCGAAGGCGCACCTCTCTACGCATGTCTTTGGCGTTTCCTCTGCCAAGTTTGGGACGTATTGGAACTATCCATGGGGAATTGACCGTGCAAAGCAATCCGCTCGGAAAAGTGGAAGGACCCTTTGCATGGGCAGCGGCATTCATTTCCCGCTGCCTTTTTTGGATCCACGTGTAAGCTTCAACCGGGGTTAGGGGCAAAGGCTTGGCTGGAAGCTGATAGTCGCTTGAAACGGTGGGGAGTAAGCATGACGGATGCAATTTCCGGCATGTTCGACGGAATCCTGTGTTTTCCTGGCCAGGTGCGTTCCCTAATTGGTGGTTTGGTTTGGTGGTTTGGACTTTATGGGGTATGAATTTAAAGCACCAAATGAGGGCCACCCGTGTTTCCAGGAGCAATCACATTTTTTGTTGGAGGCTGTTTCGCTGCTTGGGTGTTGCAAGTCCGTGATCCGCGTTATTTCAAGTACCGTTTGCAACAGGAGCCGTGTCCTAGAAGCAAATGACAGCCGGAACGCACCCGCCCACCTGAGCAAAGCATTCAGCTTGCCTGTTGCCCGGTGCCCAGGGAGAGCCTAGAAGAAATCCACAAGTGAGCACCAGCGGCAGCTTTTTTTGCATTGACCCAATTGGGGTCAATGCTGGAAGGGGACTGGGGCACACAGGTTGCACATGCCAAGCAGGTGATATCAAGAAGACTTGGTAGCGATTCGCGGGGGAAGTGACAGTCCTACAGCCGAACGAACACGGTTTGCGCCTGCTTTGTTGCTGAAAGTTCCCTTTGCCGCGGTGTGCGCTGGTCAGGCTGTAGAGAGGGCCGCTTGGGCGCATCTCTGGCCGGAAAACACCCTGCCGCGGGCTGGTCCCCATCGGGCTCCCCCATTTGCTTGCCGTTCTCAGGGAGCTTGAACGCCATCCACATCGGGGCACAGCATGGGGCAATCAAACATCAACTAGGTCCGCCAGTAGTGCCCTTTTACCAACTTGTTTGGGGGAGGGTTCCCTTTCTAAAACAGACTACAGAAAAAGATTCTAACATTTCTATCCTCTTTACTGGAGGACCTAGTCAAGTTGTTCAAGGTTTCTGGTAGAACGAATGTCACTGGGACAGGTGCCAGGCGCGCCACAACTTTGGCTCGAGCACATTTTCGCCCAAAGCTCTCTGGCTTTGCCCGAAAGATGTTTGAGTAGATATGACGACTTGCAAAGGTTGACAGACGGTTTACTCTTAGTCGCTAAGATGCGTGGAACAGGTTCAGGTTTTGTTTGAGGCGGCAGCTTCATTCCAAGTGCAAGTGACTGCTAAGAGCTCTTTCTCAGACGTTGGATGGTCCAGCAAATTCCAGGTGCTGTCCAAATGGGGTCCCCTGGGGAGCGAGGCAGGCAGCTTCGAATACTTTAACCAGAATCTGCAATCCGCAGATAAGGATGGCGACCGCAGCGGGCGAGCATGAACTATCTCCCGGAATGCATGCTGTGCCATATCATGGCTGCCACTTTAGGAATACTATTTTCATTCGCATGTGGGCCTAGATGGCCAAAAACCAACCATCCGCCTGGCAAGCTGGATCGCAAGTTCTTGCAGGCAGAATCTTGGTTGCCCTGGCGAACCTTTAAGTTTCCTCATGGAGCGGCGTGGCGAACAGGGGCGGACCGCAAAGAGGCAGGATTCTCTGGTGGCCCTGGGGGCTGAAGCTGGGCACCCAAAACCTAAGCGGCTCGGGATCCAAAGTTTGACGCTGAAGCCAGCAGGCAAGAACTGCTTTACCACGGAACTTGATCATAACTCCCAAGTGACTTATGACTTGGCATTACCTTGACGCGCGAAGGCGTTGCATGTTTGGCCGCTGCGGGCAACAGGATGCTGGAGCACGAGCCAACCGGGGCACGACAAGTACTTGCTCATTTCACAGCTTCCAAGAAGATTTCGGTGGGCTCTCCATGCTTTTTTCAGGTTTGCACCTCAATCTACGTGAGCCTGAAATTTGCTCGTTAAGTGTCCGTGCCAGTCGTGCACCATGGGCTCCTAGATTGCACTGCCGTGACACAGAGGGCGGAGAAGAAAAACAGCGCGACTTTGTCCACGAAGGTGGCAAATGACATGATATTTTCCTTGTGACTAAAAAACGGAGCGAAATGGATATCAGGATGTTGCATGAAAAACAGCCTGCCTGGTTTGGGAAACCGAAAGAACAAGAACATTAGCGGAGGATATATTGCCTCCAAAAGTGCGGGACACTCCAGTGTGTGTTTTCCTTTGGTTTCTCGAAGGAGGCAACAAGAAGACACAGGTGTGGACCCAATCAACCCAGCCGTTGCCACGTTGGTTCATCAGCTTGATGTGCCATTCTTCCAGCAGCAGGATTGCTGAACTAATCGCCGCGCCATGTTTTTTTGGAAATAGCGCCAGTCAAAGCCACAAAGGAGAGTCTATATAGTCAAAGTGTAAGACTAAGACCGCCTTTCAGGCAAAGCAATCCCTGCGCACCAGTCCTAACCCATGGAGTCTCATGTCAGCGCCGCTTGGCGCAATTTCGCTGGAAACGGCAGGCTGTGACGGACATCTTGGCCTAGTGGTCGGTTCCTGACAAGGGCACGTTTCTAATTGCTTGGCGCCCACTGGATTCTGATTCTGTGTTGGCTGTTGGCTTGCCTTGGCGCGCACACGCTAGTTGTGTTGAAATCGCGGCGTTTTATTTGCACAGCGGATGCGGGTAAAGTGAGGTTTGCAGCTGTTGTAGGCTTTTTTTTTGGGACAAGCGTGGATGGTGGCCTCAGACTGCACAGAAGGCTTGTGTGGGGTTGGAACGAATGCTGATTTAAGATGTGTTTGTTCTCGCTTGGCCCAGGGAGTCTTCTGACGGATGGGTGCGCGTGGCTGATAGCAACTTGGATCACGGGGCAAGAGCCTTCGGCATCAGTAACATGTCCTGTCCCCTAAAGTGCATGCTGGCAGCCAAAAGTCAGTCTCGGCAGTGCCTCAGGCCCAGTGATGTTTGAAACATTTGATTCGATTCGCCATTTGAACAGCTTGGAAGTCGAGGGACGCTGGGAATTCGAAGATGGTCTGTTCCAGTCCATCCCAAACCTCTGCTGACTGAGCTATCCGCTTTGTCTTATTTGGGGGTTCCACCATGTTCCCTTTGGCCAGTTTAGAGCACATGCCGCGCTCAGGCTCCCCAACTCGAAACGAGAAGGATGAGCACAATAGCCTGCCCAAGGGAGGAATAGACACTTTTACGGCAATTCCATTTTCACTGGAATTGACATCACAGAGGTGTGTATGGACATTGGCTGGCATGGTGCGAACATTGACCGCGAAAGCTTGACCCGCCACCGCATCAAGAAAGAATTCGTGTTTTGGCTGGTTTTCGGCAGTTGTGTCGAAACCTCAGGTTGCCCTTGGTTGGTGGCTTGGATTGGTGGCTTGGGGATGTGAGCCCCGGCACTTGTACCCCTACCGTCCCTGCTTCTGCCAAGGCACCGCCCTAGAGCAGTGCGACCGAGCGCATGTGCAAGTGGAGGGCCGCTTTGTGTCAGTACTGCGGGCCCGTGATGGCCTACACTGCATAGACTCCGTTTGCTACCACACTGGCGGTCCACTGACCATTGGGGACATCGAGGAGACGGCGGTAGGGCGAAAAGAATCACCCCGAACGGCCTCGGGGGATGTTTCAGTTTGAGTTGGGACATTCGCAGCTCGTGGTAGGGGCAAACCGGCCACCCGCGGCAAGTCGTGAACATTCATTTCTACTTGTTGCCACTTGTTGGATACACATATTCATACGCATTCGCATACGTGCATTCACCGGCCAATGCAACCCAAGCATCAGCCAAGCCCATACATGACGCTTGCTTCTGGGCGACGGGCAGGACATTAACGGGGACCTTTGCGTGCGCTGCCCCTGGCACGACTACAGCGTCCGGCTGTCGGATGGGGCCAAGCCGTACCAAGCAATGAAGCTGGATCCCAAGACGAAGAAGCTGAGTCCTGACGGCTGGAAGCACCTCAGCTTCCTGTTGGCCAGCAGCCCAGACTAGGCCTTTGGCATTCTCACTCCCTCAGTTCCTGGACTTTAAACTTTTTGGAAGACCATTTTAGTGGTAAACAAAAAGCTTGGGCGCTTCGTTGCCCTTGCTTGGCATGGATCTCTTGGATTATCACCAGCACCCATTTGAATGCGTCTTGGAATTTCATGAAGAATCCTTACTACATATCTTGGCATCAATTCCCAAGTTAATCTGCAGTGCGAGACTGGCTGACCACTTCTGTGGGAGGTTTGGAGGACAAGCCGGCGATTGACAAGAGTCAGTGGGAAACTCAAGGGCCGAAAAACCGAATCATGTCCAGCCCGCGAGCACGTTGAGTACCATATCATCGGCTTCTGCAACACCTGGGGTGGCAACCCAGCCAACGGAATTGCTTTTTGAGCCGCGATGCGGCCGCTTCTTGTCTCAGGGTGACAGGCCACTTGCGGCAAGCGATTGTGGACAAATAGTTGGGACTATTTACAATTCCAGAAAGTCGCTCCAATCCTGGAGGGCACTGGAACCATAGGTCCGGTCACCTGCCCGTCGCCCGAGGGCGCCCTTGATTTTCTGTTTAGATATGAGGTCTGGGCCCCGAGTCGTTTTTGTTCCTACCATGGATCTACTGCAGGTTTGGCAGGCCGGGTGGCGGAGAGGAACACGAAAAGCCCTTCCGCCACGGAGTCTTTAGCACGCTTCAGCCAGCACTCGCGCTAAGGTACACGAAGAGCACCCAGCGGACCCACGAAGTCCTCCTCCGGGATGGGGCCATCTTCGTGCGCCTCAGCACGGGGGGGAAGTTCGAGAGCGACCAGTTCGCCTACAACGCAAGCGCCGCCAAGAACGTGAGCAGCGGTCCTGGCCTGAGACAGTGAGACAGGGCTTGCTAGGTCTGCGCTGGTTTCGGTCTGGGGAAATCTGCCAATTGTAGGGCGTATATCGATCCAGGAGCAAACTTGGGGGAATCATGTGGGCCTGCAAACGCAGGCAGCAAGTAGCGAAAGTGGCTCGATCCAATAGCAAATTGGTTTGGACCCTCGTGTCATGCATAAGTTCTAGAGCCTCAGGCACCAGACACATCGCCTCGTTTCAAACGTGCGCATGCCTCCTCTGAACTTGCATCGCTTCATTATTGCCTCCGTGACCAGGAATTACTTTGAATTGAAGTTCTGCTGGCTTCAGATTCATACCCAAGTATATTTGTGTCTTACGCATGTATGTGTGCATGTGTCGCAGGTGCATATTTGCATAGAAATTGCACCGAACGATCCGTGAGACCTCTGCCACGCAAATGAACTTTGCATGGCTTCTACTCCCAAGGAGGTTTCTTGCCTAGGCTGGCAGGTAGGATCATCTCCAACCCACAAGTCGTTGGCTTCCGCGTTCGCTGGAACTTGATTCAAGCCGATCGTGGATGTCATGCACTGGGCATGCTGGCCTACGGGCCTTTTTCAACATGTTGCTATATGTCCCGAGGCGACAACAGCTTTAGACCTGATGGCAAGGGCCCTGGTGGGTACAAGCGCTCTGGCGAGGCCGGCTCCAGCTGGGGCGAATTTGGGCACGTCCCTGTCCTTATGCTAATCTTGCTCTTTTTGAGTTGTCTCTTAGGGACTTCAATTGTTTGTGGGTTGGGGTAGGGGGCAAACCTGTTTGCCTTGGGGCTGTCTAGGGATGACCATCAACCCTAGAGGCGATTAAGACTACCACCTAGCGTTCTGGATACCAGGGTTAATCGCAGGGAACAAGGCGATGTTCCCTGAAGACTTGGCAGGGGCTTTGAGGTAGGCAATCGCCTGCAACTGTCGCCGGGATTGTACCAAGTATGAGGCAAAGTTTGACCCCGCCGTATCAAGTGAACACACATGCACACACTTCTTGGGTTGCACCTTCAGTCGCCCTCGTTGGGAAGCGCGACCGGTGTTGGACATCAAGAGGTTTGGTGGCAATGCAAGTTCGCTGCCGATTTGGAAGATTAAGGTTCCACCGTCCGCTCATAGTGGCAAACGACTTTTCACAAGCGCATTGCAAATTCCGAAAGGACTTTTCTAGCATAGAACTGGGGTCCGATGCTTTTTTGGCACGTAACTACATGGCATGGTTGGGTTGTTTTCTGCGCCTGGGACGCTCGTTTGGGGTGTGCCTGATTGTTCTCGTTGGCAGGTGCTTGCTGAGCACGCCAAAGCGTCAGGGCCTTGGCAGATGTGAGTTGTCGATAGTTTTCGTCGCTGCAACTTGTTGTGAGCTTTCATCGACTTTGGGCTTGTTGGAGGGGTTGCGTTTTGTTTTGTGTTGCTTGTCGCTTGTCGTGTTTGCGTTTCCTTTTTTAGCTCCTGGGTTGCATTGGTTGGTTGGTGTATTGACTGCTTGGTTGCTTGATTGGTTCGATTCGATCGATCTAGGTGGATGGGTTGTGGTCTCTTTTGGCCGTAGATATTGCCAGATTGCCGGCAGGTCCAGCCTGGCGCCACCGGACCATTTGCCTCCGAGATCTTCCATGCCGCCAGCCAAGCCGCCGGCCGAGAAGGTGTACCGCATGGATCAAGACTGGCGGGCCTTCCGCTTTCTGAGCACCTCGCCTCGCGATCTATTTCTTGGGCTCGCGGGGATTGAGGCTACACTGGAGTATATAGCTTTGCTGTTCTTGGTAAGTTTGTTTGGTTCTGTTCATGTTTAGTAGGAGGCTGCAAAAAACAAAGTTGGTTGCTACCATACCAAGGGATGTGAAGGTAAAGTCATGGGAGGATTATGGGAAACGGCTAGGGTGAAGGCACTGCCTTTTTATTGACCAGGGAATTGAAGCAGCCGGCAAGCTTGACGTTTGGCATTTTGGCTGTTTGTTTGGCATCCCAAAGTTGTATGCCGCGGGTTTTCGCAGTGGGCTATTTTTGCGCATTGATGCACACAGCATTGCTTACTTTGCCTAAAGAGGCTGCAATGGACATTTGTATTTGCAAAAATGTGTTTCCAGACCTACTTGGACCATTCTCCCTTGGAAACGAAGAGAGGCCAAGGAGTTTGAGAGGAAAGCCCATTTCAGATCCCATGGTCCCTGGTTAGAATCAAAGACCTACCTCTGTTTCGTGAGGCTTGTGTGCCTTCTGACAAAGCCGCAGGGTACCGCAGGTTGCTGTTTGTGGCCAGGGGACACGCTTTTTCTGGATGCATACGACTTGAGGCAAGAAGCAGCTGACGAGCAACATGTGGCGATTCCGCTTTGCCTTGACTGATTGCCTGGGGTGGCCTGATGTGGAAAGACATGCCGCTTGTCATGGGTGCTTTTCGAGATTCCCCTTTCTCCATTTGAAGGACCCGACGTGGTTCCCAAGGCATGGCGCGGAACTGCAAGGCGCAGCACACAAATGTGCCACACAGGCGTGCATCAACGCAAAGTACTCAAACGCAAACTGTCTACAATTTGGCACAAGACAAGGCACCGGCCATGGTGCAAGCACAAGGCAATACTCAACAGCAACATGCGGCAGCATGCCGTGGAATGCCACAGGCCACAAGGAGCACAGTGACACAAGTCCCGTATGCAGGCACCGAAGCAATACAAGCACGATCCGACCCATGCCTAGCGATGCCACAAGCTAACAAGAGATGTTCATGCTTCGACACCAGAATCAAACGCGATCATACAGCCCGAAAGGCAAACAGCTGCAAGGCCTGAAGGTGAGTATCAACACCGGAACAAGCACGGCACTCAAGTTGAAAGTGACTGCATTGTGGTCGGCCGGGGTCGGGGTCGTGGTGGTCGGCCGGGGTCGGGGCTTACCATGTCCAGCTCCCCAAACACACTGCTTTCAGGTCCGCTTGCGCTTTGCAGGGGAGACGCTGGAGCGCGAAACTTGGAGCAAGGGATCCGACGGGTGTCCTTTCTGCGGTTGTGTTGGGGGAAGCCACAGGAAAAGCAGCCGTGGGGATACTCCGGTTTGTGCACAACTCATTCCCTCAGGAAAAAAAACATGAGAGCACGTGTCCGCATCTCGTGTTGTTCGTTCCTCTTTGTTTTTACGAGGGCCAAAAATATCGATATTGGTTTTAATTTGACAGGTTTGCTTTGCATCTCGGTGAGATTCGCAGCTAGGCTCTACACTTTTGACTTGAGGCATCTTGACATGAGGTGCCTCGGATGTTCCGAGGAGTACACGCCGGTGTCCCCCCTCGGCCAAGCCAACTTCTTCGACCTCGCCATCAAGGTCTACCCTGACGGAGCTCTCACGCCCAGGCTGCTGCAGATCCTCCGGCAGAAAACTGCGCACGCGGGGTTTTGGGGTGAAGTTGTGAGGCCTCTGCTTGGAAGTTTGGTGCTAAGGTGCCTCAGGAATCCAAGGCACCCTTTTTTGTTATGGTTCCAACGGCTCAAATTGTGTGCTTCTTGGATTGCATGCCAATTCGCAATTGCTTTGTTGTTTCGCAATCTTGGCCATCACTACAGACTTCTCTGGCACTGACTTACATCTACAGCCTCAGAACACACACACACATGCATAATGGCAGTTCCTTGGTGGCGACTGGGAACCCTGGGAATTGTCCGAACATTTGGCCATGGCAACTGGCATTGTGCGCCTCCATTGTGCAAAGAGTGTGTCACCACTTGAGTTGTGAGGCAAGTTCCTCCATCCTTTGGGTTTTTTGGATTAGAGCTTGGGCAGGTGCAAGTGGCTCATAAGAGTCGCGTGCTGCTTCGGTTGGGAGTTTATATTTGCATGATGCTCGTGGGGTGAGCAAGCTGAGGATGAAGCCGGGCCAGCATGTGGAGATGTGCGGCCCGCACGGCGAAACCAAGACGCACATATGCAAGCATGTGCCCATCTTGCCTTCAGCAAAAAAAACACATGACACACACACACACAAAATATACGATCAAAGGAAGTTTCGTGGAACTTGAACTAGTTGAGCTTCGATGACTGTGACATATGCCATGGGTGCAATCCAAAAGCATGAGGCGAATGAGGGAAGGAGGTTGACCTTGAAAAGCCTTGTG